AAAAAAAAAAAAAAAAAGAACTGTTCTATCCCCCCCGTCTTTCACGGCTTTCCAATTAAATTGTTACTCAACTCTTCACTAAGTGTGTGAACATTGTGCAGCTTTTAGCTGTGTCCCAACCTTGTTTTTAAAAAAAAAAAAATTCTAGTCCGCTATTAAATCAAGCATTTCTGGTAAAAATGAGTGATGTTATTAAACAAAAGTACATACGGTGACATTTACAAAAGGGAAAAAATGCCTGCTGGTTGCCTCTGTGCATGACCTCTTGGCCCAGGGAGATGGTTCTACCCGGCCAAATGCTGCTTAATGTCATTTATGTCCTTATTAAAGAAAGGTTTCTCTTTTCTTTTTGTTTTAAATCCCTCCTGGTCTGCGCAACAAACCAGTGTGGGTTTTCCTCGTCAGACTTAATGAAATCTACTAATTAAGCAATACACCCTGATTATTTCCTTTTCGTGAGGTGAACTTGCTTTTCTCATGCTTCTGTTTGTTGTTTTGTTATGGCATTAACAGTATTACTGTGCTCTCTTCTCATATTCTAGGAAAGCCTGTCTTTTACTTAAGGATTGAAAATTGTGCCTTTTATTTTCTTATACCATTTACATGTGTTAATATTCCCCATGGTTAACACCTGTACTGGTATTGACCCTTTATGTACAGAAACAGAACAAGTAAATAAAATATACGTCTACTTCTTTAAGTCGCTCTGTCTGGTATCTCTGTCCTCTGTGTTGTCTTTTTAACTCCGATTGTGGGGGGGGGGGGCGGACTTGTTTGCAGCAGCCTGGCGTCACAGGTTGTGTATCTGGAGCACAGGACAGTTGTTCCTGCTCCAATTTTTGACAGTTCCAGTTTTGATTCTGGCTGCGCCCAGGAGAAAGGAAGCAATTAATGAATTTTAATGAAGTGCTAATAAAAGAAAGTCAGCTGACCTACAGAGAGGGGAATGGAAAACTTTTCAAGGGCAGTGCTTCAGATGGGCAAGCTCTGTGAGTGTTCAGCACTTTTAAAACAAGGTGCACATATAAGTATGAGCCAATAGGTCCTTAAGTGTTAATATGATCTGACAAATGATTGTGTATGCAGCAATAGGTGATATGCAGCGCCTAGATATCTGTTTACTGAGTACTGTAAGATATCTAAAGCCCCGATGAGTTACAATTCCCTTACAATACTTGTGCCACTTACAGATGAGCATGGCGTTTTCGACTGTGTCACAGAAAAAGCAGGGCCTTATTGTTCCACTCATGTTTTTAGAGATACCTCCATAAGAGTGGTACAATTATTATTCAAATTTAACCAAATTAAACCATTCTTACCACACTGCCAGGCATAAATCAGACTCCAGATCAGATGCGTTCTCACAGTGGAGAGGTGACAAATAAACCGGACTTCGGCCAAATGTAAGCAAACTCCAAGCATTCACACTGAACCTCCACTGGGACTTAAAGAATATATGAATATGCAAGAATATGCAGCTGTTCCCATGTGTAGCAGCCATGGGCACACACGTATCTATAGTGAATGTATAATGAGTGTTGAATGCTTCTACACAACCTGTTCACTAATTGATGATGTAGCAGCCTGGAAATACTTGCTTGTCCTTCACCACCATTACCATAATAACAAGATGTGTTGGCTTATGGGCTTTTATAAGATTGTGAGGGAATTAATGAATTATGGATAAAGTATGGGAAGTCACAGGAGCAGACTTTGTCAAGGTTAAATCACAGCTAATGCTTGTGATGCTCAGGTGAAAATGCAGATGTTGATGGAACAGATGTAGCATTCCTACATTTATAAGGAAAAAAACTGAGAATATTATGAATACAGTGTGGCAGGGGATTTATATAGCTTTGTTAATCTTCTTTACACACTACTTATTAATCTCAGTCAACAACCTATTCACTAAAGGCTATAAAAAGATTCATACAACATCAACATGGACTTACATGAATGTTTCAGGTTCTGTAATTTTGGTATAAGGCTTTCAAATTGATGATTAGGGTTACTGTATTTATTCCTCTTTCTGGTTTTTACCTCGAGGTGCTTTGATCTTTGTGTGTTTTTGCCAGGTTAAACTGCCATTAAAGCCAGTCGATGTACTCCTCTGGACTGTGATAGGCGGTGGCTGCAGCGAGAATCACCATAATGAATCAAACTTAGCTGAGTCTGACCTCTCCTCAGGGCACAGTGTATGTCTGTGTGTGTGTGTGTGTGTGTGTTAATGGATGTGTGGCACGGTCGATGAAGGCCTTCCTACAGTCCATTACCACAACCCCCCTCAGACTAGCTGTGATGGCAGCTGCCATGCTGTACAGTATATGGCCCATAGAGGTGAATGCACGGTGAATGTTTGCTCTATGAAAATATTAAGATTTTTAGATAAGATAATTATTTTTTAAAGTAAATAAAATAAATAAAAAGATAAATAATGTAACTGATTTTAACATATTAATAAATATGCATAATTCATCTTAATATTCAATGTGTGTATGTCTCAGGACATACAAATTTCTTGTTTTTTTGGTTGGACCATTGGAAACCATTTCTCTGTTCAAACCCCCTATTTTGTGAACATTCGGAGCTATCAGTGACTACAACCGCCCTCACACAGAGAATAATTGACACCATCACATTAACCCTAGTGTTTATTGCTCTAATGAACATAAAGTCTAACATTAGATGTCTGCGCTTAGCCCACATGCTGCCGTCTTTGGGCTTTTGTCAATGAACCAGTGTGTGAAAGTGTTTCAGAGCTTTATCCATCAGTTGTTAGTAAGCACTCATGATGGATAAGATGTAAGCCCATGAATTAATCAGCATTGTAACTGGCACAGTCAGGCTTAGAGTAGCATGTGTGTCGTCGGGTAATGCCAGTCAGTTATCTCAGTCCTCTCTCATGTAATTAGCCATAATAATTTAATAATGTAATAAGAATATCCAAAACAAGTAGCGCACTTTCAATGATGATTTAAAAAACTTAAACCAACACAATTCGCTCCTTTTAAGAGCTCCTCGTTCTAAAGTACATCTTTTGCTTAAAATGGCAGATTGTTTTAAATAGCTCTGCCTTTATATTTGCCACGGTGTAGAACAGAGCTCAAGAACATTAGTCGGCTCTGGTAAAGGCCTTGACTAAACACTTGCATGCCCCTCTGTGCTGGAATTATAACTCGAGCACACTAATTGACCCCATCTGTGGTCTATAATTCATTTCATAGTGAGGTGAGAGGAATCCAGGATGAGCTATGTGGGTGACCCAGATGACCCAGGCTAGTTCTGGAAGACCTGGAGGTTTAAAACAACCATCCCGTAATCTGAATGTCACACTTTCAAACCTCCTTCCAGCCAACGTGTGGTGTTAATGGAGTGTCCTATAGAAACACAGCGACTGCGACCATATCTGCCCCAGGTTTGGCACCATTCATGATCTTGCCTCGTTGATGTTAAAACAGTGTATTACACAGAAACACGTCAGTTGATGTGCTCTAGAAAATTCCGTTGCAGCATGTGCTCCCTGAAGCTTTATAAATGTCCCAGATATGGCTTCCCTCTCTCTCTCGTAAAACATTTACAGCACAGACGTTCCTGCCTTCTGCTGAGGAAACTATGCCAGACTATGATGGTAATTCCACACTAGCTGTCTGTCATCGCTTTATCAGGTCAGACTCACTGCTCTAGGACAGTCTCTCATTGCTCCATCGTTCTTGCTCTTTCTCGCCTTCTATATATACGCTGTTTTTGTGTAATGCTCATGCTCAGAGGATTCACAAACAGAAGATGAAGACATACTTGGTGTTCTTGTGACATTTAATAGCCGAACTCACAGCTAGTTTGTAGTATAGCAATGGCTTACTAGCAGGAGGGTCATGATCCCAAGGAGAGTGTGGGGAACTATCTCTGTGGGATCAGGCTGCCATTACAGTTTTGTTTGGATACATGTGCTGGAGAGCAGAGAGCTCTATGTTCATGGTTTAGTTGTGGTAACTGGAACATGGGTTGCACCTTTGGCAGGTCAATAAGTCTCGATTATGCAATTTTTTCTTTGGATGACAATGTCGGTGGATTGGTTACCACATTGATCCAGACCAAAATATCTCAAAAACTACTGGATGGATGGCCGTGAAATTTGGACAGAACATAATGGTTCCCAGAAATTGTACCATAATGGCTAATGACCTATTCTCTAGTAACGCCACTGAGGTTGACACTCGTGATTTTGAGTTCGTTATCTCATAACACTGGACATTCAAGTTCCCCCGAGGATGAATTCTAATACCGTAAAGGTCCAGTGTGTAACAGTTAGGAGAATCTATTGGCAGAAATGAAATATGATTTTCATAGATGTTTTCATTTGTGTATATTGATCTGAATGTCAGACTTGTATTTTTGTTACAATAGAATGAGCCATTTTTATCTACAGACACTGCAGGTCATTAGTCTTGTTTATTGGTTTGTGGCTCTGATTCAAATGTACAGTATTTGCCGCAGCCCATCCCATTAAGAATCAGATTAGTTTTATGTCTTTAATTCTAATCAGAATACTGTAAAGAATTCCTGAATGTCACACTTGTCTATTCATTGTTGTTCATTTCCATTTATTGTGATAAAACTTTCATCAGCATCTAAACACCCATATACAATTTTGTCACTTTATGATGCAGATACTGATTCGACTTACATATGACTCTAAATCTTTACAATTTTTCACACAGTTTGGTGTTGGATAAAAGTACATTTTGTTATGCATTAAGTTCATTTTTATACTACATTGTATTTTATGTAATTACAGATGAAAATCTTGTATAAACCTCTGATACCTCAATATGATATCTTATTATTATTAAAGGTCTGTTAGAGTATATATAGGCTATATATTTTCATCACAACTACAGATAAAATTTCACACTTATTTTCCGGCTGACTGGATACAGTACAAGAAATAGTATATATTGCATCTCAAAACACAAAATACTGTTACACTGACAACTGTGCAAGCTCAAACTGAATTAGTACATGTGTGACTTAGAATATAAAAAGAGATGAATACTTCAGATGATTTTTGTCCTGTGAAACTGAGAAAAATTAAAGTGATGCCCATATACAATACAAGCTCTTGGAAATATGTGAAACTTTATACACAATTATACACTTTTAACAACTGCTGGAGTGGCGTATCAGTCTGCTGGTCCATTCATAATAACACCATTCCTTTAGGGCTTTAGTGGTTTAATCCACCATCAATGATGTCACCACGGCAACGGGTCAAAGTTCACCAACAGGAGTAGGAGAATAGTGGGTACTGGCTCCAATCCGCTGCGTGGCTGTGTTGGTGGGGATGGTGGTAGTAGCCATGTTGTTGTGCGTTGTGCTCAGCTGTGGCAAGTGGATGAGGTGGAGCGTGGATGGGGGTATGCGTTGCATCTACGTCAGTGGATGTCAGTGGAAATCTGGCGTACTCTGCAGATCTGGGGGGAAAAGCGTGGCGTTATAGTTACTTTTCATGCATCATCATATCTGCTGCCCTTGTATTACACACATTCCTCCTTCATATTGTTGCAGTTAGATATTTGCAACTTTATCGCTTAATTTCTTTTTTTTATGTGTTATAAATGCTTTATTTTCTTGTGCTAGGTCTCATTGGATCTGATCTTGTCCTGGATATTTAAAATCATACCTGTAGGGCTGGTATGCGACGGATGCAGGCACCATCTGCTCTTCACAGCTGTAGTCATAGTCATGCAGTGACAGAGGCTCAGCATGTAGACTCTCAGATGGGTCTTGCTCCAGAGCCCAGGCTGAAAGGTCACCCCCCTTCAATGACTGCTGTGTGGAGGCCTGATTCTTCTCTGGCTGCACTGACTGAGAGGTGGAGGGCATCCTCTGCAGGCCTGAGAGGGAAATACAATGCTTAATAAAGATCTCATATGAGGCTAATTGCATTGGTACACAAGCTGTATGAAATGCTGTACTTGAAAATGACTTACCTGGAGGACTGTTGCAAAGCTCTTTCCTGTCCAGTGCTGCTCTTTTTGCAGGAGGGCTTCTATTTGGACGGCACCTATGAAACAATAGAGCATTTTTTACACTTCTGTATTTTTACTGTTGTTTCCCTATATGCTATTATTGGCTTAAAACAAAAGTAAAAAAACATAACACAAGGTACATATACAAATATGGTCTTGTGGTTTAATTGAACTAATCACTATAATTCCTACCTTTTACTGTGGGAGTGGGTGCCTCCCTCCCTGAATCCCTTGGCGAACGGGTTGTGGTCAATCTTCAATTTGGTGATCTAAAAAAGGGCAAGAAAAAGTTTGTTGTCAAAACCGCATTCTTTTGTTTCAATCAAACAGGAATACTACTACACTACTTCTGTGTTTAGTTCTGCTGCACATGTTTATACCTTTGGGTTTTGGTAAGCAGTCACTGCAGTGAAGGTCGTCTCTGGGAAGGAGAAGGTCTGAAATGGGCCCCAGCGGACAGTGTAAGGACTGTCTGCCTGGGTGACATGAAACCTGGGGTAGTAGCGATGCATGGAGTGCAGGATGATCTGATGGGTAAAAAAAGACCAGAATGAGCACACAAAAAAAACTGTGCTAAACTAAACATAGCATGGTATAATCATTTTTAACCCTGTGTGTAAGGTGGCGTCTTACGTGGCCGTGCTGGTCCAAAGTGTTGTTGGTGAGCTTCATTTTGAGAAAAGACAACGACTGCTTCATCCAGTGACTTCCTGGGGCTGGGGAGTCTGGGTGCATGTATGTCCGACACGGGGGCTGGGGCTCTGCCTTCCCTGCGACCTCCCACTGCTCCTTTTTCCACTACAGAGAATGGGGGAGGGATGGATACAAGGTTATCAAGTGTGAGACCTGAGCACATGTATGATCAAAAGTCTGCATTAAGCATGAAATGCCTTTTTTGAACTTCATAATGACTGCTGCAATGCAAAGAGAGCTGTAGTGCATAGAACTTTGTTCGTGTGTGGTACAACATGTGTCTATTTTTCTGCTCACTTATTTTTTGTAAGGGAAATCATAAAAAAAACACTGCACAAATTCACCACCACCCAAAAAACATCCTGTGTCCTCACCTACAGTTCTTCTCCCTTTATTATGCACTTCATTGTTTCCAAGTGTGTGCTAAAAGCAATATCTGTGACCAAATGGGCCACAGCAGGTAAGAGTCATTGAATGTATGGATGGCTGACTGCTCCCTCATTCACCGATTGCGAATAAGGAGGGGTGCTAATTGATTGGGCCTCCAGCCGAGAGTGCACAAACAGGAAGCAATGAAAGGCTTTGATATGCAGCGGCGAACGGCCCAGAGTGGGCAGGCCAATGTCTGGCTGCAGACTGCTGTGTTTTACATACTGCAGTCTCTGGGCAAAATGTGGAAAACAACAACAATCAAGAAATTGGAAAGCTTTGTGCTAAATGAACATGCTCTGTCTGAAACCAAAGGAGTGCATACAGTGTGTGTTGTACATGCATTTACCTTGTATTTGAAGCTGTCTACAGGAACCATATCCACCATGATGACATAATTGGCAAAAGGTTGGAGCCCAGATAGACTGATACTGCAGTGTGGAAACATTCTCCTGAAACAGATACACAAAACCATGGTTTAAATGAGTTTGCAAAATGGTTGCAACCAGAAAAGTTAGTTTCTTGTATGTTTTGATCAATGGCACAAAGCACTAATGCTATTTTCAGTACAGAGAGAGTCTTATTTCAGTACTCGACTAACTGTACCTTCCATGCTTTGTTATTATCATCTCAGTCCCGATGCTGTGAAAGGACTTCCAGAGATCTGCATTCTCCAGGGTCATCCTGATGCAGCCTTGCTGATATGAGTCAGCTGCTGGTGGGGACCGGCGCATGCTGAGATTCGATTTGGGGTCTGTGGAGAAAACACATGCATAAAAGTTCTGCATAATGTGTTTAATAGCACATTACTGGTTTGTTGCAGTGTGGAGTTTATAGGAGTAATGAAAACAGGAACAAAATATGCTCTCAAAAAGCATGCAGAACATAAGACATATCTCTCTGTGAACAGTTCCACTTAAAATGTTTTCTACTGAGATACAAGGATATGTTTTGCACTTTTTTTAAAATTCTAAATATTCCTATCAGTAAAATACTAATGACAATTGTTGACATGCTCTGAAAGAAATGTTTGTGGTAGAAAGTAATCGGAAATAAGGAAAACAGAAATAACCATCACAGTGTGTATTACATTGCACATACAGCATAGTTACATTCAATAGGATAGAACTTACCAGAGATGTGTTGCATTGTTACTGTGTCCTCCTAATGTTGCCACCAATGCAGAAGTTCTGAGACAAAGTGCTGCTTTCAGGTGCTCTAACGCTGAAGTCAAATAAATAGGGGTCTCTATCCTTGGAAAGTCTGACCCTTGAACTTGATTGGTCATCACAGAAAGGGTGGGGTCTAAACAGCCAAGGGGGTGGTGTCAGAGCAGAGTGAGGGGGCAGGTGAGAATACTACCTGATGTAGTAGATCTAGTTGTAAACTCAAAAGTTGATGTACCAGGCTGCAGGACTGTGCATAGATGTTGGTGTTCATTTGTTCAAAGATATGTGCCATTTCAGTACTCGTATGTTGGGGTGAAAGTCTATGTTTGGATATATATCGACTTGCAAAGTCTTTCATTCTTACCATTTTGTTATTTTTTATCCCAGAGAGACAAACTGGCAAAATATGTCATAAAAGAGATGTTTAGATTTTATCATAAGACTATCTTTAAAGAGATATGAATGATAATCCACTAAATGGGAACATAAATATGTCTAATACATTAGTGTGTCTGCTTACTCTGTTTTCCTTGTTGGTTCTTATGGGTGACCCTTGAACAGACTTTTAGGGACAATCACAACAATGGCTTCTACGATTCTGTAGATATGTCCAAAGACATAATCTATCAAAGACTTTATTGTGATGAATTTGAAGTGCTCAACTATATTCCATCCATACTCTATGTATGCACTAGGTGCATTAAAGAGTCACTGTCCTTCAGTCCAAGTTGAAAGATGGTGAGCAGAATTTCAAAGTGCCCCCGGGGGGTGGAAGAGCAGACTAACAGGTCCCTTCCTGGCAGCTTTGATTGTGTATTGAGAACAAGTCTGCAGATTACAGAGGTGATTAGAGTTGTTGGGGTATAGCCTTGACAATGGTGGACAATGCCGCTAATCCTGTGTGGCCATTTGGCCCCTGCCCCCAACCCCAGTACCCTGGGAGGAGAGTGGGCCTGATGGAGCCAGCAGTTAGCAGCCCATTCACATGAAAGACTGATGGGAGGAAGGGAAGAGCAGCAGTTTGGACTTCAGAGGACACAGTTTACAGCCCAATGAATGTAATCCTACATGAATTTCATGAACAATTTTAAATTCAAATGGAGATCTCCATGTCCAGAGACACCAACTACAGGCTGAATTGCGGGGGAGGGGATTGTATGTTATACAGTGTATATATTTCCATTTGTTGGAATGGTACAGCCACAAAAACATGGAAACTTAGGGGTTTGAATGTTTCCATATACAAACAACATATAGCTTCAATGAAGAGTTGAACCAAGATGAAACAGGATATATGTGATACGACAAAGTAGAATTTTGCAACCTTGAAACTACTTAAGGAAAAAGGGAACAAAAACTAGACAAGGGATTAAAACTCTCCCACTCTTAAGACAAATGGAAGGCTCTGCAAAAGGGTTATCACTGTCTGCTTACTCAAAGAAATTAAGAATATAGTATGTCCTAAAAGAAGTTCCATAGGTCCATACTGTACATTATTTACCTGAGCAGAATGAGTCACCTCTACTGATTTCAGAGCTCCCTTAGGGAGAGCAGCCCACTGTGTTTATGAGGTCTTTCTGCACCAACTGTAGGCATGTTGAAACATTTCCCCTCTGCTTAAATCAACTTCTGGCTTGAAGTTGGAATTCAGTCTGTTCCTGCCTGCGGCGTGTCTCACCTCTGCAGCTATGCTACAAAGTCAATTTAAAATGTCAACATTTTACATTGGATTTTAGGTTGCTTCACAGTTTTACAAAGTGGTTTGCTGTGAATTCAACAGCAAAGTGAACAGCAAGCAAACACTGTGTCTCGTTTCTGTAATGCATCAGTTCTGCTGCAGTAAAAATATCTCATGGCACAGGAAATGTTGTGGCTTCAACAGTTTCGACTAGTAAGTTGAAGCTGCAGCTGGAAGATGCAGTGCGTGACCTCAGTGGTGGTAGTGTGGAGATGTGGCTCTGTGATCTGTTCACCACTTGGATATAGTGGGTGACTGTGCGGGAGGGATCCTTTCTCCGGCTTCTAAAACTGAATGCTAAGGTACTCCCCAAGCAAGGCATTTCATTTCTAGGGAAAGAGAGATGTGTGTTTGTGTGGGGAGGGGGAATTCACAACACTTTAATTTATTCCAAAAGCAACCTCCTCCACCATCTTATAAACCAAAACCACATTGTCAGCCTAACATACAAAACTGATAATTCTGCAAGGCAAAGATCAAGAGAGAACGGTGAAGCTGCAAGTTGTTCCAATGCTTTAATCTAATAAAGTATGTTGGTTAAGGTATGCTAGCCTTTACTGGAGCTGTGTGATAAATTAACATACATTTGTGGTATAATATTGTTCTCCATTGTCCCACAACTAAGATCTGAAGAAATGTTTAGAAACCTTAATAAAGGCTCATTAAAGCTCTTGTTTGCCCATACTGCCACCTACTGGATCTCTCCCTGAAAATTCAAATTGCTGTAAACTAATCATACAATTTCTTTTGGTATAGATATACAGTATCTGCTTTATGCTGTTGTCTAATTAATGTGTCCTTGTGATCAATAATACCCACAATGCCATTCGGCCTTCAGCCCCAACAGTTATCTGGCAGTGCCCTGAAGAGATCCAATCAAACTGCTTTAAGAACAGAATTAAGTAGAAAAACAGATAACAAAAACATCAAAGTTAGGCACTTTGTATATAAACTGTACTTTACCCTAAACCAGTGTACATAAATGTATGTGGAGAACCAGTATAGTGCCTAACGGCAATTTAAACGCAGTATATTTGGAAGAAATATTTATATAAAGACTGGTATTTACATATGGATTAGTATGTAGAGTAATACATTAATCAAGCAAAATGTGAAAAATATACATATACAAATTACAATATGTATGAACAAATTATATACATGTTTTACATAACAAAAGTATGTAATTTATATAATACATATGAGATAACAGAATACAATGGAATAGAGAAACATTTTCTGTAGACCATAAACCCACAGTCTGCTGAGCAGGCTGACACATGCATTTGGGAAAATTTGCTTTTCTGCACCTAATATACTAACACACAGTACTCTGTCTGAAGGCTGTTTCACCGGAGCTAAAATAATATTAGGAGGAAGGTAATACCATTGTCGGAGAAGTACTCAATTATTATAAAGGATAAAAACATATTTACATTTATTCAGTTTCTACTATTCTGTCTTATTATGTTAGCGTAGGGGGTGTTGTTTTAGGGGTATGATGCATTAAATGTATTCCAGCACTGATCGTCTGACAACAACAAACACAGAAAAGCATGAAAGTTGCAAATTACACTATTATTTCTCACTTTTGTGGTAAAATATAATGTTTGGGTTTACAGGACAGGGCACAGAATATATATGTATGTACATATATAAGATTCACAGGGTAGACAAAGTCATGTTTCAAAAGAGAAATACAAACAGCGAGGAAAGTAAACATACTGTAAGTTCTGTAAAGGTCTAACCAAGGACATCTTAAAACTCAAAGGGGGAGGAAAAGATTTTCATGCAAAGGGAATAACGACTCTTCGACTTTTAGCGTGAAAAGCGTGACAAATTAAAGGAAATTGAAAAGGAATTGATGGAAAGAGAGGAAAGAGAGAAATTAATGAAACATTAAACTGAAAAATTAGAGGAGGAAGACGGGAAGAAAGGCAAGACAAAGAGAAGGGCAAGAGAAAGTGAAGGCAGTGGAGAAAGTGATGAAAGATGAGGAGGAAGCCCTTGAGAGAGGGCACAAGAGGGAAAAAAACCCTCTTGAGACAGGAAGGGGAAGCTAAAGATAAAAAGGTAGAAGGAAACTGAAAGGACATTTTTTCATCTGGGAGAAGGACAATAAAAAAGAGAGGAGGCCCTCAAAGTAAGGAGTTTGGAGCTTTATACGGAAATAAGTTAGTTTCAGATGCTCTAAAGTGGAATATATTTATCAATAACAAAACTTTTTGACTGGTAAGAAACTCAACTGGCTGTAGATCTAATAAAAACTGACAGAGTGTATGAGGAAGACCCAGGGGAGTTAGACCTTAAGTCAAAGCCTATGAACAGAACCCCACAGAAATATTTAACAAGACGCCTGAAGAGATCAGAGCCGAGACCCCTGCAGACACTTCTGCTACCAGCACAGTCGGCTCAGGTGAAATCTGAAGGAACGAATGAAAGAAACATCGAAGGGGCTTTAACCTGCTTGAACCTAAATCATTATTGGGTCTTAGTCTTTCTGCTCTAGTCTCTAATCAATCATTTGAGAGCACCGTGCTGGGGAAATTCTGCCTGTTTTCAGTCTTTTCAGTATTGACGAGTGACATGTTTTTATAAAATTGCAGTACACACTGTATTTCTTATTTTAAGTGACTTTGGTTACTGGCATTCATACATACATACCTTTACAATTATCAGCAACATCTTACTGGTTTGACAACTTGTGTCAAATGTTCATATTTTATCACCAGCAGAGGGCAGCACGGTACCAACAAATAGTAATTGCAAATATGTGTAGATTTTGACCTTTCTTTATCTTTTACAATTGAATTCACACATTTTTTCCAATATGAGTTAATAATCACAGAAAAAAGCCAAGCAATGCTCGACTACTGTGGGAAATTCAGAGTGTGTAAATCACTTAATCACAAGCGCCTTCATGTGTTTGGACGTCGAGACGGAAGTGCAGCACCTTATCTTGCATTATCTGTATAAGTCAGGGCGAATACAGTTGCTACAAATTCCGATGCATGTTCAGAAAAGAGTTCTATGCCGTTTGCCACCACAACAGATGGTGGATCTCACAGTTAACATCCTACCACATCCTCTCAAACCAATCCCATGACACATTCTTAGGTTCTGCAGGAAATCGCTCCGGCTGTGAATGCTTCAGCTTCAGCGTGGTTCACTTCAGGGCTGATTGATTGGCTCTGGCCCGGCCTACAGGAGCCCTGCCATTGATAGTCAGTGCGAAGGCCTTCAAGTGTCATTTCCAGTTAAAGAAAAAGATCTGTGGCCAGCCGGCGGTATCTCACACATTTAAATACATTTACATATTTGTAATGCACTTGCAGGCTGAACTCACTCATATCTGATGGGGTTTAGTCATGCTTGCAGAGGGTGTAAGAGAGTTAAATAGTGGGATATTCAGTGTGCACGTATCCATGTGAAATCCAAAGAGGTTCCACCTTTACAACTCACTCTATTTCCTACTATTGGGCTACTACTGTGGCATCCCTTGCAGCGTCTCCCACGGCTCAAACGTTGTTCCTTGTCAGGTGTTTAGAGGGCTGTGTTGTGCATTCTGCACCTGTGCCGGCTTCGGGGGGTCCTGCTCCGAGCTCTTTGATGTGTGCGTGAGGACAGGCGAGATGCAAAAATGGACAGCCACAACAACAGCTGCTGCTCTCCCTTATGACCACCACCTCTTGGTCTGCACACGCACACACACACACACACACACACACACAGAAATAATCATATGCATGTGTCTGTGTGGGGTTAGCCGAGCTACCAGTGGTACAAAGAGAGTGTGAGAGTGTCTGATAGAGAGCATGGTTCAGAATTCATATCACTGCAGAGCACTAACCTCCCCTGTCTGAGGCAATCTCTCTCTGTCTCACACACACACACACACACACACACACAATCACACGTACACCAAATCAAACTCATATACAGAGCAGATTGATTTTGTGTTGCCCTTTTCTGGTACTAGCATCTTGTCATAGGTCTGACATCTGGCACCTGTCTGAATGGGAGAACATTGTTTTTCAGACAGTACTTTCTCCCAGACTTTTATTTAGAAATCGCTATCTGTATGACAACTTAGGTCTTTTTACCATTGATTTTAAAATTATCTATATCTGTGATACTCATCTGTTTTGCTGTGATCTGGGAGCGTCAATAATAACAAGTCAGCGACATGAGCTGTCAGATGATCAAATTTGAATTTGGAAGAGAAAACAAACGGTAAACATATTAACAGTTTAAAGACAATCTTTCTGCTTCAACTTTGACTTTCTGACTTGCCATAGTTGTCCATGTACACAGTTCTCCTGTGCAATCACAGGTTCACCTCCAAATTAAATGGTTTAGATCAGTCCTCGACCTTTTTAATGTCAAGGACCCCCCAAATTGATCCACATGAGGTTGTAGACCCGTATTTGATAAGATGTAGTCTCAGGGAAGAGTGTGAAACCTATGCATTCTCTCATTGGGCTAACTTGTAGTCAGTGAAATTGTTAAATTAAAATATTGCCCATTTTCCATCCCTGGACCCCCAAGTTGAGAACCACTGGTTTATTTAATCTGGCGAAAAGCCTTGTCTGATCATCTCCTCTGACCTTAACCTAGTGCTGTCACCCTGTACCTAGATCTGAGCTGTTACTTTGATGAGTTTATGCATTGTTATCATAAATGGAGCGAAGCCTACAAGTTAGTTGAGGCAGGCAACTCGAGCTGCGCTGCTATAGATGCACAACACGCATAACACTCCATTAACACCAACCAAGCACACCCTTCCAATCTGGCGGTCTATTTAAGCTACAACATTTCCCAGCTCTCCTTCTGCTCTTTCAATGCCGCCGCTGCCCTGCCCCATTGTTGCTGCCTGCTGTTCTGTAAGCCCCACCGGAACCCCAGTATCCACCTGTAGGCCCCCGGCTAGGGGGTTTAAGGTATTTGCACATCACTCCCCAATATCTACGGGGAATGATGAGGTCGGAGTCTAGAGGCCACAATCTAACTGCTGTTTTAAACTTTTAAGATGTGAGTTGTCTGACTAAACTGATGGAAATGATCAAAGCCATAAAAACAAGGCTGACAGAATAGTCCTTTAACAGACTGTATCTATACTGTGTGGAAACTGTTTCCTATCTCCTATGTGGATTATGTACTTACTGCTAAATTGCCTCTTTATCTTTGCCACTGTCTCTGTGGAGATGACATTTCATTTCTTTTTCTATCTCTACATCTGTTCCTATTTTTCTATGTTTGTTGGTGGTTTTGTTCTGTTCAGTTTTCAGTTTGCCTGTTTCTATCCCTGTGTATCTGTCTATTAATCTGTCACTTCTTGTCCATTTGTCTCTTCTCTCTCGCCGTACGCTCCCTGCCTGTAAACCATCCCCGAGTTCTCCGATTTGCAAGCAGCTCCTCCACTCTTGAATATTTCAGTTACAGAGTGATTGATTGGTTCTGCCTGCCCCATCTGGAAACTCAAGCAGAGAGAGTGCCATGTGTCAACTATTAAAGAAGCTCCATGGATGATGACATTTTTTTTTTTTTTTGCATATTCAGTGAAACTTTTTTTTTAAAATGATAACTTTCTATTTTCAATAACATTGCAATATTGGTAAATTAAACACATCTAATTGGTTCGTCAGTGGTTTCTTTCCCCAAACAGGACACACAGCCAGAAAGCCACCCATTTCTGCTGCATTTGCCTGTGGGTGCAGGTGCTCTCCTGGTGGCTGCTGAGCCACACAAGTTAATTAATACCACTCGAGTGTGTCAGGAGGAGGGAAGGAAAACTGCTGCTGTTGGCAGAAATGGCGATTGAGTGACTTTTTAAACTTTTAAACTTCATTTTACCTCAAAACAGAATGAAGTTTTGGGTCTTCATTATTTTGCCGGGGTTTCATCCGCAGCCTTTGGGTAGAATAAATGAACAAACATCCCCACAAACACCTGCATAGACACGCAGATACTGTATTTGTGCTTGTGCATGATTAGAGCAATACTTCCGTGTGGATTGTAACTGAAACTTAGGTGTCAATTTAGTGTTTATTGTGTGTGTGAAATTACGCCCTTGCAAAACAAATTGCAGTAAAGGACAGTGCTGTCTTGTCAGTGGAGATGCATATACAGTATTTATCACTATATCATAAAATCTTAGGTCTCTATCAACAAAAGTTATAGGTCAATGTATTAATAATACAGACATTTTCATAGTATTTCTGATTTTCATTAATTCAGAAAGCATAATATAAAAAATGTCATAACAATGAAAGTGCTATATATTTATATAAATAAGTAAAATGCCAGAAATAGCATTCACAATTCACTTCTTCGAAGAAGAAGTTCTGACTTATTGTGCCCCCCTCCCCCCAACCCCACTTCTGAAACCAAGCCCTTGTGTGCTAGTGTGTGTTTACTCGTGTGTGTGTGTGATTATACCAAGACTTGACAGGCCTGACATCCTGTTAACTTTGATCTCTGAATTAGCAGTATCTGAGCTGGTGAATATTTCTGGTGACATTACTTTTCTGATTCTCCTTCCCCAAAAAAACATGGGTATACTGTTTAATCCTCTGCCAGCAAATCTGTTCATAAGGCTGACTCAGAGTGAGTGTGTGGTGTGATTGACATGATGTGGTTTACTTTCCTGATCAGCAGCAGTGACCATTACAAGAGAAAAACATGCTTTAGAACATCAGAGAGATGGATAGCACTTCCCAGTTGGTGTGTGCAAGCTGTCATGTTACCTTCATCTGTCTTCAAGACCAGGCTTCTTTTCAATGACACGAAATAATTACACAGTCAGCCGCAACACAGAGTACTCATAAAAATCTGTCAAATTCACGTGACCACAGTTATAGCCAATAAAGTCGTTCAGATTATTTTATTTTTCTAGAAAAATATTTTACATTAGAAAACACAGCTTAAAATATACACAGTTCACTCGGTTATGCAATAACTGCAGAACCTTTCAACTCAAATATATCAGTCTATAGGTAAATATATCTTTACAGCAAGAATAAATCCAGGGGCCGAGTTGTGACTCTTGTCTTCAGGAGTTCGGGGTGATGAAGGAAATGCATCCAACAGTCACAAAAAGGCTCTATAAACTCTATGACCTGATCAAAACAATGTAAAATAAACGGGTATATCATTTCATCTGAATCGGATACAAAAGATACAACTAAACCAAGAGCAGGGAATGCTTCCAAACCGGAGGTTTAAATGATGAACCCATGGAAATACGTGTACGAGCAGCAGTTCCTAACTTCAGAGTACAGTTGAGGGATTTAAGCAGGAAAACTGGTGCTGACAGAGTCCATCCACCTACTCATCCATCCACCTTTACACTCTCACAGCAAGAAGTTTGCACACTGCCTGCAAGAGCAGGAGCCGAAACATTCATGCTGATCACGAGTCAAGCTATTTCCGACCTAAACTTATATATATATATCCTCAATTACCTCTGGTGCTATCCAGCCATGCAGATAATTTCTGAGACACCCAATACAATGGAGGTGAATGTAAAGTGCTAGTCGTGCACACAGCAATGAAAAAAAACGTTTAAAACTTTAAATCTTTTCAAATTCAACAGCAGTGTGTCTTTTCAGAAACAGTGTCCCGTGTTACTCTGGATAATCTATAGACATTGTTGTAAACAGTTTTCTCTGGAACTACTTTTTAACAAAGGAAATAATCCCTATGAGGTCTGCGGATTATCCAGAGTAACACTGACAATGTTTTTTTGCAAAGACACGCTACTGTTGAGTCTTTCAAATGTCATTTTCCAGTGTGTTGAGCAGCACAAACAAAATTCCTTTCATCTCCATTGTACTGGGGTGGAGGCAGAAACTGTACAGAAACAAAAACTGAACCATCTAGTGGCTGGATTCCGCTAGAGGTAAGAGAGAGAGAGAGAGTGAGAGAGTTGAAAATATGCTTTTTGGTCATTTTGAACTAATTTTGGTGACCTACCCTGTAATAAAGCATCTGCTGTAAATTCATAAAATATGCAACAGTGTGTTGACATGGTGTTCGCCTTTGCACCTGCCTACATCCCAGAATGCCTTTAACTGGTTTGTATGCAAGGCTTTGTTGCTGTAAACCTGCTGCACACAAAGACAAATAATCACTGTCGGTGCTCTTGGAATACATTTGCTGTTCAATAACCTTTTTCCTTGTAGAGATGAGGCAGTTTGACCATTCAGTGAAAAATGTTGTAAAGCATTGTGAGTGGATTGTTGCCTATAAGGATGATTATTTTAGTTGGCAATGCCCACCAAATGACATGTAAAATAAATAACATCAAAATTAGCGGGAAAAAAAAATACCAAATGATATAATAAAAACAACATTTTCCAGTTCTTCCAATAACTGTCCACTGGCCCTCCAACAATCAGCTCAGGAACTCTGTCCCCTGCTTTGGCAT